CACATGATTCCCTTTGCGACCTTCTGACAAGCAAAGTCAATGGGCAAGACAGAGTCACTTAACAACCATATTACTAACTTAACAACTGCAGTGATTCACTTAACAAATGTGGCAAGGAAGGTTGTAAAATGGGGCAAAACTCACTTAACAAATTTCTCACTTAGCAACATAAATTCTGGGCTCAATTGTGTTCGTAAGTCGAGGACTACCTGTACCATCAATGGTGCCCATGCACAAATAGAGCCAAGTACCTCAAGGCAACATATCGTAAGTACAGGTAGTTTTCGACTTATGACCACAATTGAGCTGAAAATTTCCATTGGTTAGCAAGGCAATTGTTACGTGAGTTTTAACCCCATTTTACAACTTTTTTATTTTTACAAAACTTGTTAAGCAAATCACTGCAGTCATTAACTAAATCATGTGATCATTAAGAGAATCTGGCTTCCTCTATTGACTTTGCTTGTTGGAAGCTGGCTGGGAAGGTTACAAATGGTGATCATATGATCACGATACCAGGACATGCAACTGTTCAGGAGTCTAGAGTCCTTCCATGCTACAGTTGTGATTGCATAATATCCTGGCTATTATGAAGAGAGGCAGTGGTACATTATCTTCTGAAATGGTCATCTCGGGGATTTTAGTTAACTATCGTCCAATCACTAACCGCCCTTACTTAGGTATGATTATTCAGAAAGAAGTGTAGACCAACATCAACCACTTAGAAAAAGCACATGATTTGTATCCTTCTCAAATAGAGCTCATATCTGGATACAGGACAGAGACTGCATTGATGGTTCTCTTGGATGATTGATGCCATGACTCAGTAGGGGAAAGTGCTTCTGTTTGTTAAGCTCTTCAAGGCAGGCAAACTCAAGAAACAAGAACTGCTTGGACTTCTGCAAAGATCTTGATTCCTATTAGGGTAATGTAAACAATCTTGAAAGCCTGCAAAGGAATTCTTCACCTTAACTTCTTCTTAACATACGGTAATTAAGATGGCAGTCTCTTTTTTACGTTTTCCCCTTCTACTGGACTCAAAAATCTTTATTAAATTTATATGCCACCCATCTCGCTATTCAAAGCAATTCTGGGTGATTTACAATACAATTAAAGTATCAATATAAAAACAATTTAAAATTACAAAAGTTAAGAACAGACTAAAAACTAGGGGCTGGAGCGACGCAGAGGTGGTGCCCCCTCTGTCACTGCACCAACCACCTCTATTCCTATGCCCCATAGTCCTGTTTCCAGGATCTGTGAGACAGCCCATAAATTAGACCTTTTAAGCAGCTTTCAATACCATGAATTAAGGTATCTTAATGGACCAAATTGAGGGGTTGGGGATTGGAATCATTGTTTTACACCCGTTCCACCCTTCCTCAGTGGGTTGTTTCAGTCTGTTTCAATCCTGGCTTCTGCAATGTGGGGTGCTGTAGGGCTTGGTTCTCTTTCTCTTGTTTTTTAGCAGTTACACAAAACAGAACAGAATGAACAGAGAGCTAGTTTGGTCTAGTGGTTAGAGCACTAGGCTATAAACCAGGAAACTGAGTTCTATTAAGCATAGAAGCTGGCTGGGTGACTTTGGGCCAGTCACTTGTTTTCAGCCCCCTTCATCTCACAGGGTTATTGTTGTGGGGAAAACAGGAAGAGGAAGAAGTATTACGTATGTTCGCAGCCTAGTTATTTTTTTAAAAAAATAATAAAGCCAGGATTTTTTTAAAAAAATCTGTAGTAAAAAATGCTGGGAGAGATTTTGGAGTGTGATATCAGTCCACTGATGATATCCAACTTTATACCACCACTGCAGGTTGTGGAGGAGATATTGTTGATGTCCTGTCCTGATGTCTGGAGGCTATAAGAGCCAGGACGGGTAAAAACAGACAGAATTGGAACACAGATTAGACAGAATTGTTGTTTGTACATTGGATTTTTCCGATGACACCAGCATCATCTCCACATGGGCAAAAGAGCATTTGGAAATTTTTCTGGACTCATGACTCCTGCCTAAATAGCAGGTAGAAGCCATGACTAGAAGGCCTTTGCTGCTGTGTGAAATATAACACCACCGTATAGGCTCCAATAACATATGCCCTCATTGCTACTTGTTGTGGCCTGCCAGCGGCCTGCGCGGATCATGGCTGATCTCGACGAGGAGGCTGGTGTGGTGTCGTGCCAGCAGTCTGCGCAGCCGGCGCTCGTGTCGGACAGCGAGGAGGCTGAAGAGGATGTGGTGCCAGAGGCAGAGACTCAGCCAGGGCCGTCAGAACCTCCAGAGGCTCCTTCAAGTGGAGAGAGCGAAGTGGAGGAGCCTCTTCTCAATGCTCGAGCATGCAGGGCTGCCAAAAGGCAGGAGTGGCTACTCAGGAGGAGGAGGTCTCCTCGAGAGTAAGGCTTGAGGATAATTGGCCACTCCCTTAGCCTATTTAAGTCACACACGGTTAGTAAGTTTCTTGCTGGAAACAACTTGTAATTATCATCAGAGCATTTTTGGAAAAGTCTTATCATATTTTGTTTTCTGGGCTGGTTGCCAACCTTTGCTGGACTTTGGTTTATTCTTGCTACTTAATAAACTTGATAAGGACCGTTGGTATGTCAATATCCTCAGGAATCCGGACCTGGGGCAGAACACTACTACACTGGACTACTACACCACACTTTACGTAAGGCTGCTCCTTAAAAAGATTGTGTGCCATCAAGTTGTTTTGATTCCTTGTGACCACATAGCTAGATTTTCTCCCATGGTTTATTCTTAACCTGTTCTTTCAAGTGTCCCAGCCATGCAAATATCACCAGTGTAACGGAGTCTATCCATCTTGCTTTTGGTCATCCTCTTCTTCTATTTCCCTCTACCTTTTCTACCACTGGAATCTTTTCCAGAGAGCTGAATCTGCAAAATGTGTTGAAAGTAGGATAATTTGAGCCTACTCATTTGTGCCTCAAGAGACAAGTCTGGATTCATTTGTTCAATGATCCCTCAGTTTGTTTTCTTGATTGTCCATGATATTCTCGAACATCAAAGTTCAAAAGCATCAATACTCTTCCTATCTTTCTTCTTTAAAGTCTAACTTTCATTGCCATAGAGTATCACTACAACTCACAGAGTTTTGTAGGTATAATCAGATCAGGGTACTTGAATATCTTTTCCAAGATCTTCATGGCTGCTTTGCAGAGTCCTAGTCTGTGGCATATTTCTGAGCAGCTACTCAGTAAATGCAACTTGTCCAGAATGCAGCAGCTATATACTCACTGGCTCTTACAGCTGGAAATATATAATATTGATTCTGCAGGTCCTGCATTGTTTGCCAATTAATTTCTAGGTACAATCTAAGGTGCTTGTATTGATTTATAGAGGTTTTTATAGCTTGGCATTGGGTACCTGCAGGACTGCCTATTGTAGCTGGAATCAATCTGACCCACTTCTGATCTCACACTTCTGAAAGGTGAGAAGGGCTGAAGTTAGAGGATTTTGCTTTTCTGTGGCAACACTGATGATTCCCAATAGAGATCAGGTTAGCATCCTTCTTGTTGATCTTCAGGAAGATTTCAAAAATAGATTTTTTGAAAGGGCATTTCGTATTTTAATTTAAGAATCACACGACCTTTTATTTCCTTTTGTTTTCACATTCATTATTGATTTTATTTAGAGGCTTTTTATTATATTATCTTTTAATCACACTATGGATGTTTTTACATTTTTACTGCACGGAAGCTGACAAGAATCATATTGCAGTGGCGTATAAGTAAAATAAAAAAATATTATGTGAAGGGAAAGGTAGAAATGCCAAGTCAAATTTTTGCTATAATCACAGGGTTTCCTCATTCTTACTCATTTTTACACAAACACCCCCTCCCCCTGTTGTTTTAATGGTCTGTTTTAAAAAAAAATCTTTTGAAAGTTTACTGATTTGAGAATGGATATAACTATAATGTATGTAAAACAGCTGCAACTCCACATATTCAGAAACATTTAAAATCTTGCTTCATAATTGTCCTATCACATGCTAATATTCTTATAAGCTGAAGATATCTTATTAGCAAGCACCCTGTGAAATACTGTTCCAACATCTTAGATGACCTGTTAAGTATCCATATATGCAATTATCCTTCACACATACAGTATAACTGTTATATAGTTGCCCACTTAATAATGAGCTTTTCACAATAATTGCGATATAATTAGAACTAAAAGATTCAATATGCTCAAAATCTGCACTTGAGAGTTGATTCATTTGCAACAGAATGTCTCAGGAATATGTTTTTTAAGAGTCAGTACTGAGGAAATTAAAGAAAATAAGAATGAATGATTTATTGCATCCATATACATTTACCCTGCAATACATGTATTCAAAATGACATCTATTAACTCCACAGCAACAATAATTAAACTAATTTCAATATATATTAAAAGGCTGAACTGTAAGATGGCAAAACTGTCTTATTAGGATATTGCCAACTAAGAATAAAAAGTGATGAAGTTGTTGCGGTAAACATTCATTACACATTTCTGTTGAAAAGCAGCCGTACAAATTTTTAGCAATTAAGGGAATCCCCAAAAACTAAGTTTAGTTCCCTATGATAAAGCCATTTTTGCCCCCCCTCTTTCCCCCTATAACAATTAGGAAGGAATGTGTCTTAGGTTTAAAAAAAAAATATTTCTGGAAGCTAGAATGTTATATCAAGAGAGAGAGCCAAAAAGAAAAAGAAAACACTACAATTCCACTGGCGTTATTTGCTAAAGAGCAAATCTCAGTAAAACCAGTGGGGTTTACTTAGGGCACAGATGCGCTAAAATCAAGTTTGTCTCCCCCAGTGCTTCTATAGGATCCTCCCCTTCCTATACCATATAGCTATTTGCCTGTACCTCCCATTCCATCTCCATCCACACCTTAGTCCTTCCCGGTGTCCCTCGCACACACGTACACAACAAAACACACCGACCCCTCGTCGTCGTCGTCGTCGTCCCCCCTCTACCCGCCCCCAAGAAAAGACGCAAATACCCCGCTTCGCCTGAAGGAATTGCAGCTCCCCTACCCCTCGGCCGGTCTCTTCGCAGCATCGGTAACCTTAGCAACCGCAGGTGCGGCAGCCATTGGCCAGTTTAACAGGAGGCCGCGCCCAATGGGGATCCGAGCTGTGGCGCGCTCCGCCAATCTGAGCGAGGCATAGGGCAGGGCGCCTTGTTGACGTCTGACGAGGGGAAGCGGGAGGAGGGGGGAGGAGGGTTGCGAGGGGCGGGAAGAAGCGGGAGGAGAGCCTGCGAGGGAGGAGGAGGAGGAGGAGGAAGAAGAAGAATTTGTGCTGCTCGGCTGTGGCACGTTAGTCTGCCTACCATGGACACCCCGGGGTAGGGCCCTTCCCGGCGGGGCGGCCGCGGCCCCTCCGCGCCCACGAAGACCCAGCGCCGGCGGGGGAGGGCTCCTGGCTCAGCCAAGGCGGTGAGTGACCCTTCCCGGCGTCTCTTCTCTTTCCCCAAGCGGAGAGAAAAGAGCCGATAGCTCGGCACCGGAGAGGCTGCGGTGGACGAAGAGCAGCGGGGGGCTTGGAGGGAACGGCCTGCCGGAGATCCCGCTGTGGAGGTGGGAGTCTTTTTTTTAATTTATTTTTTTATCCTGCCTCCCTCCCGTCCGGTCCCCGCCGCTCTTTTCCTTGCTTTTTACCTGCCCCTCCACTTCCTCCTGCTTGGATGGATTAGCTGCTCCCTCCTCTCGCCTCCTGCTAACTTTTCCTTCCCGTCTTGCTCTGCCTCTCTCGGGTCTCTGTCGCCCCCCACTTTTAAAAGAAACTTGTCTAACTCCCAATAATCGTGCCTTGTCTCTAATGAAGCACATTACTTCTTTCTTATTTTTTCCCCTTTAGTCACTACCTTCCTTTGCTCGCCTGCGCATTACTTATCTGTTTCAGTCCCTCTCTCGCGGTTGCAGTTTTAGTTTTTGGGTCCCCCCCCCTTTTTAAAATAAAAAATAAAAATTCTTCCTTCACACAGTAGTGCATCCTCTCCGTATCTTTTTTCCTTCTGTGTCAAAATGATAAATCTGCTTTACACTCTAAATATTTGTCTTCTGTCTTCTCCCTGTTTCTGTAAAGGGGCTCCACCTAAATACTCCCCCCCCCTTTTTTTTTAAATCAACTTCCTTTATTGCAGATTTCCCAGTCCTTGTCTCCTTTGCCCTTGTATATTTGGATGCCTGTGTTAAATAAAATACTGTACCTTTCTCCTAGCTTTTACTTGGCCATTTTACTTTGCCTTTTTTCTACCTTTGCCCTTAAATGCTGTTCCTCAGAATTGTCCAAAGCTGCCTCCTTAAAAACTCTACATTTTTATATAGTATTATTTATATAGTATTATTTATGTCTTCTAAAGCTTCCTGTCCCTTCTCTTTGAGGCTTGCCTAATGCCCTTCACCCAGGGAACAGTATCTTAAATGCATTGCTCCCCTTTTTAGCTTTGTCCTTGAATTAAAATGAATAGCTTATTTCTGTGAAAATGGTCACTCTTTATCTTACAAATATTGCATTTTGTTAGTTTACTCTCTAGTTTGTGTTTTTTTTTTTCATTTCTTAAACCTCCCATGTTACTACATAAAAATCCTTTCAGTTTTTCCCTGGCTATTTGCATGTCTCTTAAATGCTTTTACAAGCTCTGCTCCTTCCTTCATCTCTGTCTTCTCCCAGGTTGCCACTGTAGAAATGTTCTGCTTCTTTAGTCTTTTTCTTTCTTAAAGGAGCTTATTCCAGTCGTCTTGATTCCCTATTCGCGAGTTTCCCCCCTTTTTTGGCCCTCTGATTCCTTCCCTCTTAACCTGCTGAGCCTCTCCTCACTCAACCTTGCCCAGTCTTGTATTTTCTCTCATTTGCTTGTTAGAGCTACTTGCAAGCCGGTTGGGGGAGCAAATCCACAGAGAGCTTTTAGCATGTCTTCTCTCAGTAGACCTCAACTACTGTCCCTCTGCAGTTGCCCTGTAGGAAGAAGGCAAAAAGAGCAAGGGGGTAATCTAGCTCTGGCTACATATTTGAGGAGTGTAATACAGCTGTATGTGTGTGTATGGAAGCTGGTGGTGCTCTGGATAGATTAAGAGGCAGGTGTGTGCCTGTGAGTTTTATTGGTTGGGGAGGGGGAGACTCTTGTTTGTTCCTGGAGCTTTGAGATAGGGCAGGAATGTGAGGAATGCCTTGAAAGCCAGCTGCAATAGATCGGTTCCTCTTGTCCAAGCTTTCAAAGGTCACCGGACCATCTATCTAGCAGCCAGCATCTCTGCCTGACTACTGCAGAGAATGTGTGGGAGCACTGTCTGTACTACATGCATTACGTAGGATCAGATTAGATTCTAGTGACAGTGCTCTACTATTTGAAGACTGGTTTTGAAGGCAAAAATGATTGCTGTGTGGCCTATCCCCCTTAGCAAGGGTACAGCTTGCTTAACCCCTCTCTTTCAAACGTATTTATGCCAAGTTTTATTCTAATGAAATCCAGGTTAGTGCTGTAGCATTCTTTTACATGTTTCGAAGCAGAGCTTTGGAAACTTAAGTGCTGGGGAAACTGTGGGAGATTCAGAGAGAGTGGATTGAGGGAAAACATTAAATCTGCATTGTGCTAAGGAATGTTTTATGCCTTTTTTATATTAAATGCCATTGTCAGAAAATTAATCTGGTGGTGGTATTGTGGAATGCTTACAGAGCATTAGAACCTCTTCTTGTTAATACTAAAATGCAAGTACCCCCACCTCTTATTACCTATCAGATTAACCAATAGAGAAGCTGTGTAGATGGGCCAGAGAGAACTGTCTGGTACAGCTAAATTACTGGGTGTGTCAATTACTATTTGAAATCACATTGAAGAGCAGTGGGACAGAACAATTGCCAAGATATCTTTTTTCCAGGTTTGCATCTAATAACTCTGTGGATTATGGCTGTTCATCTATTTGAGCTGCCAACACCAGTTAATTTGATATGTGGGTGGGTGGGGGTGTTTGGGTCAATATCTTAGGTTGGAGGAGATAAAAACATGTTGAAAAGTTTGAAGCAGAATAGTTTAGCTGTAGGTAAAGGGGAATAATCTACGTGTCTGGACATGGTCTAAAAGTAGACTTTTTCTGTTTGTCTTTAAAAAAAAAGCCTGGCAGATGAAAGGAAATAATTACAATGCTTCAATAATGAAGAAACTACAGCAGTAGCTGCCAAAGCAAGTCCTAGAACATATCATATAGGCTGCTGTTCTGACATGTTTGGGGCAGTTTTTATAAATAGGACATGGTGAATTGGCTATTACATTTAATTAAAAGGTATCTACTCAGAAAAGTTAGACAGGATGTTCTGCATCTCAGCCGGTATTGCAGTAATTTTGATAAAGTGATTATATTTTAAAGCTTTAAAAGGTTTGCAGTGTCACATACTAAATAGCATTTATGGATAACTATTTTTATTGAAAATAAAATTTAGAGGTATATCTGCTTTGCTCAATACATAGTGATAATGGGAATAGAGCAATGTGTTTTGTTAATGATATATTCTGGATTCTTCTTTCACATAAGGTTTTATAATTGATATGTTTGTCTTCTGAGGAAGGATCACAAGTGCCAGCACATTTAAATGGATGTTTATAATAGTTATATAGAATTAGTAAAGGGAAGCAAAAGATTTGGCAAACAGTATGTTCTTTCTGTCTGCTAAAGACTAAGCATTACTAAAATGAGATAAAATATATTTTTAAAAAAAGAATTTAGAACCTTGAAGCTTTTTCAACTGCAGTGATTACTAAGGTCTTTTAAGTACCCAAATATTTTTATAAATTTTAAAAATGTTGCATCTATATGTTGTCATTTCTCAGCTCAAGGTGGCATATGTAGCAGTCTGCTCTAATATAATCCCAGGAACAAGAGTACTTAAACTGAATGATTGCAATTTAACATGTGCAATCAGATGAAATATACTCTATAACTGGGAAATTAGCTGAGGGTAGAAATGTATTTAACATAGTACTAAGTCATTGCACTGCACTGTTAAATGTATGTATCACCCTCCCCTTTCCCAGATGATTTGATTTTTCCCTTTAACCATCCTCTGGTAAGGTTACAACAATTATGGAACCTGCAAAGGTCAGATAAAACTCTGTATATCTTGTAACATCCTAGGACTCCTCAAACCTCCCTATACACATTAGTTACTCCAACCAGTTTATTTTGGCATTAAGGTAGCATCAATCCTCCTTCCTTTTTTCCTCCTTAGATCCTTGTGACTCAAAGGCAGTCTTAGATCCTTTTTGTAGGATCATTAATAAAGTTCCTAAGTACAGAATATATTTAATTTTAAATTGCTCTCTTTATTTAAATATTGCATTTAAAGTAATACTTGTGAATTCCTATTCCTATGATATATGAAATAGAATTTCCCCCAGAATGCTTGAGGAAAATGATCTGAAAATAAGATTTGTATATATGAACAATCGAATAAGAATGTCTCTGTACTGAAAGGTAAAATACATTCTTGTATTTGTAATCTGTAATATAGCAAACTATTCTTTTTATCATAGGGAATAATATCGTCATAGTAGATATAATACTAAAAGTGTAATAATCCAAGCAGTTTCTCAGTCAGTTTTTATCATTCATCACAAGGTGTTATTTTTAATGTACCTCTAAAATTAAAAAAAGAAAATTCTACCAAGATACATTGGTTGGGTTATGTTGATTGTAGTTCAATTACCTATTCAGTTAAGTGTCAGGAGAGGCTATCCAGTTGGGATTGGACAGCATTAATTTTTTTTTTTTTTGAAAGAATTGTATCATTCATGTCTCTCTGTCAGGCTGTTATAACTAGCCTGAAGAGTGAAAGCTAAAATGTGTGCAGTTGCCACTGAACTCAATGGAAAATAGATATAGGATATGAGAAATGACAGAAATAGAGAGAAAGTGGGAAGATTAAATGGAATGGGAAAAGGCCATTTAAGAAGAGAAGAGAATAGGAGAGATTAGTCTATGTATGGACTGGTAGTTAGATGCTATAATGAGAATTATGGTTGGGGGAGAAAGGAGATGTCTGAGAAATTGAGCT